CGTTGAGCCATAATTTACTCCCTGGGTTCTTTTAAGTTGTGCATGACGTAGAAAAACCTTTTTGTTTGAGAACCGATGGGTCGCTTGGGCTGATCCGTTCTTTTGAATCAAGAGTGAAACGTGTAAATAGCTGGAGTGCAGTTTTTCAGGAGATTCTTTAAGGTTAAGAGAAGGGGGAGGGAAGGAAGCAATTCTCTTGTGTCCCAAAGTCCATGTCAGAGAGAGCAGATATTTCCTCTGGTGTGAAAACTATTTTTATAGCTGGTTGAAAGTGCAGGTAACAAGTTTATCAGGAAGAGAGAGTTAAGGAATACTACAGTGAGCAGATTCTTGTCTGACCTTTTCATGTCCAAACCCGTTGATTGCAGTTAGTTGCTTTGAGCATTGACGAGGGCCACCTTTTGCCTATGAAGTTGTCTGAAAACTCTTGTGTTGATTAAAAAAAGGAAGAAAAAAAAGAAAAAAAAAGGAAAAAAAGAAAAAAAAAGGAAAAAAAAGGAAAAAAACCCTCTTTAATCCAAGTAGCATTAGGTATTGCTGTATGATCAGTCGTATGGTTATTTGAGAGGTTCACCTTATGTGGCATCCAAATCGTTTTTAGTGTTTTTACAGCATCCCTCTGCCACTAAATAGTTGACTTGAATTTTGGAAACAACTGTTTGTGTTTATATGTATATGTGTGTGTATATATGTATTTATAGATCCGTGTGTGTGAGTTCAAAGTGAGTTAAATAGTTTTTCCCATGCATGTGTATTTCATACATATCTGGCTGATATATATATTTCACCATACACCAATTTTATAATTTATTAAATGTCAGTTAAAAAAAAATAAAATAAAAGGATAGAAAATGGGAAATACTTATTTTTTAAACTCAGTCTGATTTTGAAGTGATTAAACCTACACTAGGAATATATCTCATACATTTTAGTCATGAATACTAACCTGGTAACTTCAGAGCATATGCTTTGCTGTAATACTCTTTGTAAACCTGGAGTACAAGTGCTGTCGGTGTAACAGGGAGCGTGTGCGGCCCCGGTTCGGAACCACCCAGGAGACGTTGGGAGAGCTGGTGGCTGCTGTGCTGACGGTGGTGGCGACGTTTCATTGACTGTGTTGTTAAAGAGGACCTGAGGAGCAGCTTGTGTCGCTTTTGACAGTGGTATGAAAGCCTTGGTAACCCACATCTGAAATGAACCGTGGCGGGTGTGTGGTAACGCAGGATCCGGCGTCTTTATGCCTGGCTTAGCTTTTGGAAAGCAAGGTCCGATGGTGACGACTTCCGTTTCCTCACGAGTTATCCCGCAGGGAAGGAAGGCTGTTCAGTTCACTGGTGACGTTTTTGAACCTCATGGCTCTACAAAGAAGGGACAGACACGTTCTGAAGTCCTCCTTTGTGGTATTAACCCCATATGCTTTGTGAGTATTCCTGTTTCATGCTAGGGTGTTCTTTATTGCTGATAATTCTCTGTGCCTCTGACCACAGTTAACATTGCTTGGTAGAAGTCTCAGTCTGAGTTCTCGACAAGTTCCACGCGAACGTCACTCCCAAACTCGATCTCCATTAGTTCATGTATTAACAGAGATGCTGTAGAGCAATCCAGAGCTCCTTTCGCTGCCCCATGGCAGAGTTTGTGTGATCCGTAGCCTGGAGGCCTCTTGTCCTCAAGTTCTTCCACCGGAGAGGTGGGGTGTGCACACACTTGTGCCTGTTTTGTGTCAGGTATGAGCACACAGCTGTTTAATAGCAGCGTGGAAGTGGCTTTGAAAGCTCTGGTCCATCCTTTAGATGCTCTAACCTAGGCCACGTGTTAAGATCTTGGTAGCACTTCCATAACAATAGATGTGACAGCGACTGCAGGCTCGCCCCTTCCTCCCCATGGCAAGGACTCAAAGCCTTTCAAGGGTGGGATGACTGGTAGGTTGTCATTGGACTCTGTTGGACCCTCACTGAGGCTGTGAGGAGAACGTTTGACAAATGAATTCTTCACTGCAGTTCAACCTTTCAGGGGTTTAAGCACATTTTGAATAGACAAGGGTTTGTTTTGTCCGTGTAACCAGTTTTCTTTTCTCCTTTTAAACAGAGCTTAGATTTCTAACAAGGGAAAATTGCTGGTGGTCCCCGAAAGTGCTGCTGTTAATTGTTCTAATTAACAAAGGGAAAATGTATATAAGCAGAATATTAAAATTACCATTAATTCCATGAATTGAAAAGCTGTCATTCATTGCCTTAAAACTTTCTCTTAGTTTCCATACGGCATGCCAAACCAGTAAACGGCTTTTAAAGATGTATAGTAGACCAATGTCAGTTTGTATAAAAGTACCAAGTGAAAATATTTATTATATGCATTGGAAAAAACAAAATGGTTTACCTATTGAATGTTACCTGTTTATGTAGAAATCTTTAGATGTAATAAAAAGCATTCAGTTACGTTGTGTTTCCTGGGGGGAAATGAAAACTGGGGGGGGGGGGGGGGGGGAGAGGAGGGTGTTTTCTGTGAGCTGATGGAGTTGCAAAGGTCCCTTTTGGACAGGGATGCTTTGCCTCCGGTTGGTTTGTGGCATGGAATGTTGTCTGCATTGTCTCTCCAAGCTTTTACAGCTTGGTTTTGGAGTGGGTGTGAATGGGGGGGTTCTGTTTGCTTGTATTTGGGTAGGGTGAACCCACCTGGAGAGGATGGTGACCCCCTGTTAGGATCCCAGATCCACTCTGGAGCAATCCAAAGTGATTTTGAGCTCATCAGTCCCCATGACACACAAGCTTTCATACTGTCTACAGCGGGAAGGATTTGTTCATCAGCTCTTCTGGCCAGTAGGGAAGTATTAAGCTGTGCATTGGATCATTTGTGATTTGGTTATTGATGCAGATTGGAAACAACTGCTTCTGCATGCACTCCGTGTTTCATAAGGTGATTATTCACAGCAGCCGAGGTTTGCGCTCGCTTCCATCACCGGTGCCTCCGCAGCAGAGGGTTGGAAGGGCTCCGGTGGGCAGCCAGAGCTCCCTCCGTGCTGTTAGCAGAGCTCCAAAAGGCTCCGTGGTGAGGTAGGTGGGGTTTGTATCCAAACACTGGGAGTAACTGTGAGGGGTGGGAAGAGGGGTCCATGGGAAAGCTGATCCTTTGCTGTTGGTAGGAGCTGGTTTTGTTAGTGAATCTTTGCTCCGTTTCACTGTATGCTGTTATCTGGAGTGTTTGAGTGCTGAGCTGCTTGCAACGCTAACTGTGAGAAACAGGGTTTATTTTCTGTCCATAGAGTAAGAAGATGCTGGATGCATTAGACAGGCATGACAAGGTCTGTCAGTTCTACACTGAGCAAAGTTCATTTCCCCTCCAAGCACAATCCTTCACTCTTCAGAGGGTTTTTCATCTTGGCATATCGGGGTCTGAGTCTGAGCTTACTGGGTTAGCTGGGGACTGCTGCCGTGAGAACTGCAGGCTCTGCAGCTTGGCTCTGAATCAAGGGAGAGTGGGCACAAAACTGCCCTTTGTCTTAAATACAGGACTGAGAGGGACGTCCTGGATCCGCTTCCATTCCTTGCACAGCATTCAGCATCTCATTTAGTCTGTTGTGCCTTTTCCCCTCCTGTATAATACTCCATAAGAATAATTCTTAGCCTTACGGAGACACTGATTTGGAAGAGTTAAGATTTCATGTCAGAGAATGGTTTGGGATGGAAGGGACCTAAAAGCTCACCCAGTTCCAACCCCCTGCCAGGGGCAGGGACCCCTTCCACTGGAGCAGCTTGCTCCAAGCCCCTGTGTCCAGCCTGGCTCATAATTCAGTTTGGGGTTTTATTTTTGCAGTTTCTAACCAAATTTGTGGTACTAACAGTCCTGTTTGATTCCGTGTGTCAGCCCTGGGTGATGCTGCTTTCCATGGTCAGTGGTCTTCAGGCAATGCAGCATGCCTCAGTAGGGGATAAGTGCAGTGTGTATGCTATGGCTGTGATGATTTAACTGCTGATGAGCTCACAGGTAGAGCAAAGGATGTGTTGGTTGCTTCAGTGGCCAAGATTTGGCACTGGAGCAGGGAAGGAGGGGAGGGAAGGGCCTCCCATGGGGAGAAGCCACTGCAGGCCCACAGGACCAGGGCCTTTTCCAGCATGTGGCTGCTTCTGCGTGATGGTCTCTGTGTGGGTTTCTGACCGACTCCAGAGAGGATCTGCTGTATGTGCTCCTAAATCTCCTGCGAGGGTCTGTGGACCTTAACTAAGGTGGAGTGAGACCAGCCATAACCGCTCTGGGTCAGAGTGGTTTTCATCTCTCAACGCCAGGAGAGATGGGTGAGATTCCCTGCTGTAGAGAAGCTGAATTCCCCGGCCCTGTTCTTCCCTGCCAGGCTGCTCTGGGAGCGTGTCCTTGCGGATAGCCCCGAGCTTGGTGACGGATACGTTTACCAAGCACTGCATCGGCAGTGGGTTGCCTCAAAACCAGCTTCACCGCACAGAGATTTGGTGCTGAAGATCCTGTGCCTTAATAAGTAACGGGACAGAGGCAGGACAGGACAGATCCTGTGTGCTGGAGGAGTGGGAGAGGAAGAACGAGGTGGTGATTGTAGGGCATTGCTGAGATTGGAGAATGGGAAGTGGTCCTCTGCTGAGCATCACTGGTGGGGGGGAGCAGAGGATTGGTGCTGCGTGTCTGTGATGCTCTGGACAGCCAGCAGGGATGCGGCTGGTGACTTGATGGGATCATGCACTGGATCCAAGGAGCTGTGCACACTTGCACTGGATTTACCACTGTTGGTGCACAGTTGAGCTTCCAGGGGAATCCCTACCCAAAAGACTGTGTCTGAGCTTGGGTGTGTGGAAGCAGGAAATGGTTGTGGTGATGCTGACTTCTTGGGACGCTGTCACTGTGAGACCTTCACTGCAACTTCCCGTTTACGCCGCAATCTGTACTTAAATGCATTCTAAAAGTCATTTTTGATGTTACGAGTTTTAATTTGTTCTCTTTTAGCTACTGCTTCTTGAGCAGGACACACGTTACACAAGGGATGCGAGAGGCAGTTTATTCAAATAACAGCTCACATTTGGTGACAGCATTCCTTCAGGAACGGGGTGGGATCCTGTGTGAGTGTAAGCACAGTTGTGAAGGCATAATAAGGGATTTTAAAGGCAAATGATGATTCCCAAGTCCAAGTAATAAGTAGGAGAAATTGAAGTCAAGAAAGCCTCAGGTTCTGCTCTTACCAAATCTCTTGGTCTGAGTTTCAGTAGTCGACTGTTGGAAGGCAAATCTTGTGGACAAATTCTTCATACCTGATTGTTCCGTTTGGTCCAACTTTGGCTTCTTTGAGCAGGTCATCAACTGAAAGAGGGGAAGAAAACCACGGGTTGGAGAGGCAGATGGCACAGGTGCTGCGTTCTTCACAAGAGCAGCAGTGCAGGATGTGGGTTTCAAACCCGTTTTGTTAGTTCTGGGATCAGTTCTGCTACCGTCCCGGAGAGTTCTGAACTATCTCCAGTTCACACTCGGATGTCGATCTCCCAGTTCAACTTTCTGGAGCAGAGGTGCCCATCTCCTTGATACCCACATGGAAAAGATTCACAAATTTAGTCTAAAACAGCTTTTAATTGCTTCTGGTGGCTTATTTGGCCTGGGTAACAGACCTGCCCCTAGTCAATTTAGACCAGGCTAAATGCTCATCGACATGGTGTGCCCAACTTGAAGTAGATCTGCGTGACACTTGGTGGTGGGCCTTTGATGTTCGAAAAGGAAGAGCATCTCAGCTGGAGCTCTGAGGCTCTCTGAAAACACATCTGAAGAAGTGGTAACTGTGCAGTTGGCACCTGGGAGCAGTGGGATGCTTTTCATTCCGGCTTCGGGAACTCCTTGGCGCTGACAGCAGCTGCCTGACTTAATATGTTATCTTACACAGGCTAAGCCATTAGAATCATAGAACCCCAGACCGGTTTGGGTTGGAAGGGAGCTTAAACTTGTCCAGTTCCAACCCCTGCCACGGGCAGGGACCCCTTCCACTGGAGCAGCTTGCTCCAAGCCCCTGTGTCCAACCTGGCCTTCAGCACCTGGACACTAAATACAGCACCTCTGTGATAAATCATCATCCCAGGGAGCAGCTCCAGCAAGGGAAGAGGTCTCTGGGTTAAGAGGCATCCGGGTTGCAAGACGCAGCATCTCTGCTTGGCCATTGTGGTGCGGCTAAAGGCTGATGACAGCACAGAGACTTTGTCCTCACATGAGTCTAATTAGAGTTGATGGTGCTAATGGTTCTCTTTGGCTTTGGGGGTGCTCCCTGCTCTGTGTGTGTCTGGGCTCCCCTGGGGGCTCTGGTTTTATGTGGGAAAAGCCTTTTAAATGAAGGCACAAGCTCATTGTGTGCCTGTGAGACTGGTGCTGGTGGGGCGGACTCAACAGCGAGATGCGATGCGCCGGTGCCCTGGACATTGTGTGTGTGATGGGGGGGACATCCCTTCTCTTGGGTGTGCTACCTCCTGCTGGCACAGGACCTTTCCCAGAGGGAAGTCAGGAGGGAAATCAGATGAGGAGCATTCAATACATCTTTGAACTGCAAAATACCTTCTTCCTCGGAGAGCTTCTCGCCTAGTCGGGTGAGCTTGGCTTTCAGCTCCGAGACGGTGATGGTGCCTCTCTTCTGCCTGTCTATCATGGACAGGGCAGTGAGGATTTCCCTCTCGGGCTCCTCTTGCTTCATTTGCCTGTACATGATATTGAGGAAGGTGGAGAAATCCAACTCCGCGTTTTTGTCTGGAAAAATAAGAGGAGATCCCTTAGGAATGGCTTGGTTTTGTGGTGTGGATCCTGCCCTGAGCATCCCCTTCCAATGGCACTGGTTTAACCCGTGCACTGATTTGACTTTGTTCCCATCACATCAGACCATAGGCTTTGGTGACTGCTCTTGGTTTGCATTGCCTGTTTCACCTGGGGGGGAGGCTGTTCCCTGTGGGACTCCAGGCAGCCTCCAGACCACAGGGAAAGTGCATTTCCCCATCTGTTTCATCCATGTCTTATCCATGTTTGATCTCCACGCGTTACCCATGTTTGATCTCCATGCGTTACCCATGTTTGATCTCCATGTGTTACCCATGTTTGATCTCCACGTGTTACCCATGTTTGATCTCCATGCGTTACCCATGTTCGATCTCCATGCGTTACCCATGGTTGATCTCCATGCGTTACCCATGTTTGATCTCCATGCGTTACCCATGTTTGATCTCCATGCGTTACCCATGTTTTACCTCCACGTGTTACCCATGTTTGATCTCCATGCGTTACCCATGTTTGATCTCCATGCGTTACCCATGTTTGATCTCCATGCGTTACCCATGTTTGTTTGATCTCCATGTGTTACCCATGTTTGATCTCCATGCGTTATCCATGTTTTACCTCCATGTGTTACCCATGTTTGATCTCCACGCGTTACCCATGTTTGATCTCCACGCGTTACCCATGTTTGATCTCCACGCGTTACCCATGTTTGATCTCCATGCGTTACCCATGTTCGATCTCCATGCGTTACCCATGTTCGATCTCCATGCGTTACCCATGTTCGATCTCCATGCGTTACCCATGGTTGATCTCCATGCGTTATCCATGGTTGATCTCCATGCGTTACCCATGGTTGATCTCCATGCGTTACCCATGTTTGATCTCCATGCGTTACCCATGTTCGATCTCCATGCGTTACCCATGTTCGATCTCCATGCGTTACCCATGTTCGATCTCCATGCGTTACCCATGGTTGATCTCCATGCGTTATCCATGGTTGATCTCCATGCGTTACCCATGGTTGATCTCCATGCGTTACCCATGGTTGATCTCCATGCGTTACCCATGGTTGATCTCCATGCGTTACCCATGGTTGATCTCCATGCGTTACCCATGGTTGATCTCCATGCGTTACCCATGGTTGATCTCCATGCGTTACCCATGGTTGATCTCCATGCGTTACCCATGGTTGATCTCCATGCGTTACCCATGGTTGATCTCCATGCGTTACCCATGTTTTACCTCCATGCGTTACCCATGTTTGATCTCCATGTGTTATCCATGTTTTACCTCCATGTGTTACCCATGTTCGATCTCCATGTGTTACCCATGTTCGATCTCCATGCGTTATCCATGTTTGTTTGATCTCCATGCGTTACCCATGTTTGATCTCCATGCGTTACCCATGGTTGATCTCCATGCGTTACCCATGTTTGTTTGATCTCCATGCGTTACCCATGTTTTACCTCCATGCGTTACCCATGTTTTACCTCCATGTGTTACCCATGGGCTGCACTCACCGATCCTGTGCAAGTGGAGGTGTCTCTGCGCCTCCCCCGGCGTGGGGCTGGCTCCCAGGCATCGCATCACTGCCAGCAGGTCCGAGGCCTTGATCTTCCCCTTTTGTTTCTTGTCGTAGAGGGAAAAACACTCCTTGAACTCTAATTAAAACCCAAAGCCGTTATTCCCTGCCAGAGGACACGGATCCGCCGCTGACGCCTCCTCCCCGGTGGCCCGGCCGGGTTCCAGCAGGGATATTGTGTCTGCTGCGGAGTGTCTGGTTTCAGGGTGATGGATGGGGGGGACCACACCACCCTGGGTAAGTGCCAAAGGCAGGCTTGGGAATAGCGGAGCTGAGGGGGGACCTTCAGCCTAACGGAGCAGGTCTGAGAGTGGAGTCAGGCTGCTGCACGTGGAGAATGGTGCTGGGAGCACTTTGTGGGGTGGGAGAGGATGCTGAGGGCGGGAGGCTTAAGGGAGGAATCCTGGAATGGTTCATGTTGAAGGGACCTCAAAGCCCATCCAGCTCCAACCCCTGCCACGGGCAGGGACCCCTTCCACTGGAGCAGCTTGCTCCAAGCCCCTGTGTCCAACCTGGCCTTGAGCACTGCCAGGGATGGGGCAGCCACAGCTTCTCTGGGCACCCTGTGCCAGCGCCTCAGCACCCTCACAGGGAAGAGCTTCTGCCTAAGAGCTCATCTCAGTCTCCCCTCGGGCAGGTTAAAGCCATTCCCCTTGGCCTGTCCCTACAGGCCCTTGTCCCAAGCCCCTCTCCAGGTTTCCTGCAGCCCCTTCAGGCACTGGAGCTGCTCTAAGGTCCCCCCTTAAGAAGCCGTCTCTTCTCCAGGCTGTCTCTACACCCTATTGCAGGTTTGAGTGCCCTATGGGTGCTGTGCCCCCCCGCCCTGCCTGCCTCCTCCCAAGGCCACTGCAGATGATCAGGTTTACATTAATGCTCTTTATTATGGCTTAAGCCATTCCCTGTCAAACCCTTCCCATCGCAGCCCCGGTGCCTCCCAGTGACTTCCTGCAGCCTCCTTCCTCCTCTCCCACCTTGGCTCCCATCGGACAGGAAACCCCAGCACTGCAAGTGCTGGTCCCTGCTGCTGCTTGGCCGGGGCTGGGGGGTTCATGGGGTTGGGAGGTTGCTGGTCCCGATGCAATGCAGTGGGTATGGGGGGGTGTGGTGTGTGTCAGGTCCCAGCATTGTGCTAGAATTGGGGAGATTTCTCTGGTTTCAGGGCAAAGAGGCACCCTGGAGAGCTGGAGGAGGTGACTGGGGGGCACGAGCTCAGAGTGAGTGCCATTATCCATCCATATATATATATATATATGTATACACACTTTAAGCTGATCTGGCTAATAGGAAGAACCAACCAAACCCAGACCAAGCCCACACATACCATTGATCTGATCCTGGGACAGGAATTTTGCCTGGAGCATGGAAAGGGGAACAGGAAAACCGGCTTTAAAATCCAGATGGGAATCAGTGCTGGTGCTGGTGGGGGGGTTGTAGCAGCCCAAACGCTTCACTCACCATTATTTAGGGGCTCTTCCTCGTGTCCAACGCTGCCCGTGGGGCTCGGAGGCGCCTGCTCCTGCTTTTCTACTTGATTAAGGGCTAAAGTCCGGGGTGGAGAGAGGCTGTAATAAATACCCCGCTGCCATGGCTACGAGACCTGATCCCTGCCAGGCTCCCGCTCACGTGCCATGGGGATAACGGCACTCCCAAGGCCTCAGATGGGACCGAGAGCTTCCCTGCGTCGGGGTTTAGGGGTGCTGGGGCCGGGCTGGATGGAGATGGGCTCGTGCGGCCCAAAGGGTTCAGTGATCCCCGATAGTTGCACACCTTGTGCTAAGCTTTGCTGCTGGGGCACAAATCCAGCCCGATGGTGGCTGCTGGGGATGGGTCAGGGGCATTTACAGCCCCACGGGTCGCTGCTGCACGGGTTTGGTGGTGGCAGCAGCAGCAGGAGGTGCTTTGGGGCCATGTCACTGTGCCCTGAGCTGGGGCACCAGGCAGGAGGGAGGGGAAGGGTTTGTAAGGGATTTAAAGCCCCCCATTGTCTGCAGTGTTATTCACTGGCCTGGATCCGACGTCTCCAGCACTGCCAGGTCTTGCTGCAGACACAGAGAGGGGATGCTGCTGCAGTGAGACAGAGTTCTGAGGTTTAACCTGGGTGCTTTTGGACCAGCCCGCACCAACAGCCCTGCTCACGTCTTCTGGTCCCTCCCAGCACTGTGCTGCTGCTGCCACCCCGCTGATGTTCACGCCATTGAAAAGCAAGTGCTATGGATGCATCTGATTTTGTCCCATCCTGACCCTATCAGGAGAGCTGAGGCAGTGGTGTGGGTGGTGCTGAGCCCCTCTGATCTGCTGCTGCTGGAACTATCCCAACAGGAAACCCAGCAGCAGGGTCAGCACAGGTGAGAGGGGACGAGGTACCCGATGCCAGGTTGTGGTGGAGATCCAGACCCAAGAACAGAGTAGTGGCCACAGTGACCACTGCAGCATGGACCAGCCCTTCCCAGGGCGGACCCTGCTCTGTTACAGTGATGTGTTCATGGTCCTTGAACCTCAAGAGTCTCCTTTCAAAGGGCAGAGCTGCTTCAGGGAGCAGCCAGAGTCACTCAGCTTTTACCAAGTGCTTTTATTTGCTGTGCTTTGCTAATGGCTTTCCAATTCTGGCCCTTGAATTCAGTCACACCGGGCTCTAATACAAACCCCATAGACATAACCCATCACAGGGATGCAGCTGGAGGTGCAGGGCTCGGCTCCATCACCTCAGCCTGGAGAAGTGACAAGTGGGAACAGACCCCACCGGGTGCTGGACCTCACCCCCTGCCCCATGGATGCCCTTTTGGGTTGCATTCATGGGGAATTGGTCCTTCTGCCACCAGCCAGGCCCTTCCTGCACTGTGTCTGCACTCAGCAATGAGGGCTGAACCCTAGCACCGACGGCCAGGAGCCCAGGAGCCACCACATGGATCCAAGCAGGGCAGCTCTGCCCCTTCCCTGCGTGCTTCATTCATCTGGGAGCAGTATGGGAGCAGTGGATGCATCTCTCAGTGCCAAGACGTGGGGAGGATGAGAGCTCTCCCTGCAATCCCTGACTCCTGTTAAAGGCCGGGATGCTCCTGGGGTGGCAGTGGTGGTACCTGGACCACTGCGGGGCTGGGATGCTGCATCCCTGCTGCATCCCACCTTTAAACAGCCCGGCTTTCAGCCACAGGGACCATTCTCCCCTCGTCCCTGCCTGACTCACGCCTTGTGCAGCTCGTGTTGGTCAGGAGTTTATTTGAAACACATCTACTTAGAAAAACTAAATTTTTTTTTTTTTTTAATCCAAATCCCTCTAAAATATCAAAACTTAAAAACTTTCCTTTGCTGGGTGGAGGTTGCTCATGTGCAGGGTGTAAAACGCCCACGGCTCGGGGATGTAGATCACACCGGGGTACTTCTTCCTGAGGATTTTGTCATTCCACAGCCAGACCACCCAAAGGGCAATGAGGACCAGCGTGATGATGAAGGAGTAGAAGAGGAAAAGCCCATTGCTGTCCAGCACGAGTCCTTTGCGCTTCTGGTGCATCACCAAAGCCATCATGGCAAAGAAAGTGAAAATGTAGAGGATGAATATCTGGCCCTCGGTCACGAGGTACCTGCAAAGCAAAGACACCCATGCCATCAGTGCTCCCATGGAGAACATGGCACTTCCAGCCTTGCCCGGAGCGAGCATCTCCCCTTCTCCTGCTCTCCATCCCGTAAAGCTCTGCTGCCTTCTGCCAGCTTTTAACTGTGGTTTGGCTTCACTTTATCAGGGATTTAACAACCGTATGGGTTTCATGAAGAGAAATGGGATTTTGGGCTCCGTTTTTGGGATGCTCAACAGCAGACTCAAAGCCAGACTCTGGTTCTGTCCCATGGATGTTGTGCTTATTTAGCCCCCAAATCCCTGTGTATCTGGCAGCAGGCTGTCCTGAGCAGGCAGAGCTTCGTGCTGATGGAGTTAAAGGCAGTGCATTGGGGGAACTGGGCACTGACCAAATGATGCTGATGATTTTGACTATCAGAACTTAATTTACTGTATAAAAGCAGCCCTGGCAGGGGGCAAAGCCAAGGGCGAGAGAGAGCCTCATCTCCGGAGATGAATGGGAAGCTGTTTGGCTGCCATCAGGGAACCCCTTTGGGAAGAGGAGGCTAATGAGAATGGGAAATAAATAAGACCTCTCTCAAAAGGCTATTGGGGACCCGCAGGGCGAGAGGAGGAGGCAGTGCCTGAGCAGCACCCGCATGGCCTGGGCTCTGTGTGAGACATCTGGACACCGGTGAGAGCATCCCCATTGCCACCAGTGAGCTGAGACCGCTTGGATGAGCTGCAGGCACCCCAAAATCATCAGGGAAGCAAAGGGCAGCCTTTGAAGGGGGAGAGACAGCAAATACCATGGAGCTCCAGCAGTCACAATGTGACCAGCTGCGGTTGAAGAAGCATCCCAAGCAGGGATGGGAGTGCTGATGGGTGACCCTGAACTCGTCCCAGCTTGTAAAGGCTTGAAGTGGCTGCAAATATCAATGGGATTTGATATGATTTGATTTAATTTGATTTTCCAGCCCTGCAGAGCAGAAACTGCAGCAAGTTCAGCCCTGGGGAAGGCACAAGCCCTCCCTGCACACTGTGGGGCTGCCTCTGGTATTTCTGGGCCAATCCATCTTCATCCCTGACCCATCCAGAGCGGGCAGAAGCCACTTACCAGTAATAAAGGCTGCTGGGCCCCATCAGAAGCAAGGCAGCCACTGGCATCCTGCTCTCCTCCTCAACAGGGGTGAAGCAGCCGGTGAAGTATATGAAGAGGATCAGGAAAAAAGGGATATACCTGCACACACAAACAGCTCTGATCACTGGTGTGAGCCTGGGGAGCATTTCAACCCCTGCTCCCCCCCTCAATCTGAACCATGCACGAGCCAGGAATGCAGGATGGGGACCAGGCTTTCAGTAACCTCTGAGCCCTTTGTAATGTAAAAGAACAGCATTTAGCTGCTTCTCAGCATTCCAGGAACAGCAAATAAATTGGGAAAGCCTCATGGGGAGGGATTTCCCCCTGCTCTGAGCAGCCTCAGGATTATCTGGCAGTGGATAAAGGAACAGACCCTTCTGGGGTGTCTGGTGCAGGCAGAGCAGCAGGGCATGGACACCTCCGGCACTGCCTGTGTTCCTGCCCCTGGGTAGGCGTGAGGCTGGATGAAGCCCGTTGTCCAGCTGGAACAAGCATTTCTGGGATCAGCCTGGGGCAACAGCGCTGAAATCAGACCCTAACTGAGCTTTCCAGATCACCGTGGCCAAGTGGTCTCTGTTACAGGTCTGGCTCTGAGAGCAATCCTGCCCTCTCCTCTCGCTGGAGGATGCACAGTGAAGGAGGGGAGTGAATAAAGGGCTCAAGCCTCATCTCGTGGGAGATGACAGCCAATGGTTTGACAAACCATCCCTATGGCTGTCCAACAACGGCCGCATCCTAGAAACATCACTGAGACAGAGACAAAACCAGGGGAAATGGGGTGATTTCCCAAGGGAGAGATCCACTGTGATCACCCTGGCGCCGAGCACATCACCCCCAGCCAGCAATCAGCAGCTGGCCTTTGTGTTTTCCCCCTGTTAAGCTCAGATCAGCTCACATCTGCCCTCCCTCCCGTCACATTCAGAAGCCGCTGCATAGACTGAGTCGCTTACCACATCGAATGACCTAAATATTCATCGTAGTAGTACAGCAGCTCAAAGGAATCAATCTGCAACACAACAAAGAGCTTTAGAAGGGCAGAGGGAACAGGAGGCTCTTACATAAGACCAAGCAATCAACGTGGTTTTGGCTAAGTGCTTGTGGAAAGCAGGCTCTTTACCAGCGTCTCTGGCTTCAGGTTCTTGATGATGGGGTTCTCTCTTACAGACAGATGGTGCTGGTAGCCACTGAAAATCAAGCGATGGTTCACGGAGTCTCCGACCAGGTGGATGCTGGCACCCATGACAAACATAATGATGCTGACGTAGATCATGGATCTCGGTAAGGTCTTGGGGGATCTCTCGATGAGCTAAAAGCACAGAGAGGTGTCAAAGAGCGCGGTGGGACCCGCAGAGACATGGGACAGGCTCTGCTCACCCTGAATTTACGGTGCTTGGCAAAAATCACCCCAAAACACGAGGGAAGGGCCGGCGGAGAGCTGCAGGTTGTGCTGCTGCAGATGTGAGCTCTGGTGGCCAGCACCTTGCAGGGACAACACAGTCCTGCCATGGGGAGAGCCACACAAGCACACCGGCATGAGCCTCCCTGATGGAGGCTTTCCACAGACGCATCCCAGGCAGGTTTCCAGCAGCCTACGAGGCTTCCAGGTTTGTGTCCACTCTTTATCCCTGTTTGCAACTATAAACCCCTGGTTTTATGCCCTTTCTGCAAAGCAAACCCTCAACTCGAGTCAATGCAGAGATCAAATCGGTGACCCAGTACTTCTAAGGGAGCACTCGGAGCAATTTCTTCACCAGACGAGATTAAACCCGATTAATGAGAAACAAAAAGGCAGCCGGTTTCCTCAGTTCCTCTGCCGGAGGAAGGCTGGGTCTATGGATGTGGAAGGCTGGCTGTGCCCTCCAGTGGCAGGGAGAGCCTCCAGCAGCACTCAGCCACACACTTGACTCCCCTGGCTAAGAG